AAACATTTGTACCAAAGAAGTCACTCCCTTCACTACTTGCAGGAATTTCCATAACTCTTCTTCCCTATTTAAGTGAGGAATCAATCCATACTAGGAACTTCTCAGCAATTTTAAAAACCTACATGTCTGTGTCTTACTTCAGATTAATTAAGTCAGAATCTCTAGGGGTGGGACACAGGCATAAGTATATTTTCAAGTACCTTGAGTTAAAATCCACTAAGAGAATGGAAGATGAGCATTTCATAATAGAATCTCTGTTCCTTACCTCAGGGAGGTGGCCTATGTTTTCATTCATTCTTGGTGGATTTATAGTCAGTCTCCATGTTGCTCAACAATGACCTTATATTAAGGATCAGAGGACCTGCAGAACTTGACAGTCCCAGATATATTGTTGGCACAGGCTTCAGAATCTTCCTCATATCTTGGTCATGCATTGCACACTGATAATTTTATTTTTAATCTCATTATTTCCCAAACCGGTAGATTGTATATGTTTGGATCGATTTTCTCATTTGAACATCAGTATCCTTAGGAAGCATTCTCCAGAGCATTAATCATTACATTCTTGACAAGATCCCCAGGCACCCCAATCTAAGCCTACTGTGTCCCAAGGGTTTTTGTATAAGGCCTGTTCCATATCATTTGGCATACTTCTGTCTCGACATTCTGGGAATCTTAATGATATCCCTGCTGGAATCTGATAGAAAGGTAAATGTGTGTGGCCCCTGATTATTGTGTGAAGTAAGTATGATGCTGATGAATATCTCTGCTTAGGCTTCCAGCAGTTCAGCATATACAGCATCATAGGCCATCCCTTTTCTGCAACTACTGAAGCTACCTTATCATCTGAGTTCAAGAATTTGTGTTTGAAAACTAGGTAAACATCTATATAATTTTTTAGGCCGCTGATGAGTAGGATCAAGCAAATAGATAGTAATAAGTGGAATTTCTCTTCCTAAACCCTCTATGTCAACAGAAGCATCCGTGGAGTAGGGCACGTGATGGAGAGTGAGGGAACATGGGTCTGAACAGACAAGTTTATGTCTCAGTTTAAACAGATTTGCTAAAGATTAGCCTTGTCCTCTAAGTAATAAAACCTTCCTGGTTTGTAATCACAGGGGAAGGTAAAAGATAAATATTATGCAGGACAGAGCACAGACTGAAGCAGACAGAGAAATAATGAGGGCTCAGAATTAGTTTCTTACTCTTCACTTAGAATGAATAGAAAAAATCCAAGAGAATAATACTTAAATATGATCTAAATTTGTATTTTATTTGCATCAATCACAAAATAATTGATATTTTAGTCCCATCTAGATGGGTGAATAGCAATAGCCACTTGCGAGTTTTTCCTAATTCTTCTTTTGATTTCATATTTTTTAAATTCTTCCTTTCTTCTGCATGCTGCATGTGCGTATTTTAAAATATGTATGTGTCTTTTTGCAGTAATTGTGATTTGATATTTAATGACTGTAATAAATTAAACAGCATCTATCTAATAATAAAAACTACATTACATTCATAGTCTACAAACCTTTATAATCTGGTTTGAAATTTCTAGGAAAAATGAAACGAAACCGAGTTGAAACTCTGATCATGTTGCATTAGGTTATCACTGTACTCTCTCTCTTTTTTTTAATGTTTATTTATTTTTGAAGGAGAGAGAGACAGAGTGTGAGTTGGGGGGGGGGCAGAGAGAGAGGGAGACACAGAATCCAAAGAGGCTCCAGGCTCTGGGCTGTCAGCACAGAGCCCGATGCGGGGCTCAAACCCACAAACCGCAAGATCATGACCCGAGCCGAAGTCGGACGCTCAACAGACTGAGCCACCCAGGCGCCCCACTGTACTCTTCATATTCAAAACAGGGTCTGCATATGTGACAAGAAGCTAGAATGTCTCCTGTAGATCACATCAGAGAAGTGTTACATCCTCTGCTCACTTAAAACTAATAAAATTTCTCTTTATGTAACGTTCTTTGTATTAGCGCCTACTGCATCTATTTTCAGGTGTAGCCTCATTACTGAAAAAAACCCAGGGAGGAAAAATCCTTGGTGAAATGCCACAATGAAATGAGTTCATTTTTAAGGATGACTGAAAATGTAGGACAATTAATCACATTGTCTTATGTGGACAGTAAAGATGAAATATGGGGTATTGTAATAAATCTCTCATGGATTTGTGATAGTCCAATTAGGGTAGGCTAATCAGATATTTGGAAAGTAATGTACTGCCCATTGATTTTCTTTGCTAGAGGAATGGGATCTCACCATTCATATCTCCCAAACCTTGACACCTAATTACTATCAATTTTGTTTATTTGATCCATATTTTTCTATTCCTTTTACTACAGCAAAGTCTGCTGAAATATTGAATACCAGTGATGGCCTTTAAGCTTGAATTTGAGACATCTCCTTGTTTCCTGGAGCGGCTTAATGCAGTGGTCTGAAGGGTGAATGTGAATCGTAGATCAAGGGGGATTATGTGAGTCTGGCTGGAACTTTATCAGCTGTCAGATTTAAAGTGCATGCATGAAGTTGTAGGTAGAAGACAAGGTCAGAAATATGGGGCATGGAATTCCAAACAGATTGGAAAAGGGAAAGTGAAGATGGTTCAGGAAGAAGCTTAAATGTTAACTTCTTGGCCTAACTAGATAGGGTGGGCTTAATGGGCAAGGCCAGGCAGGACTCACACAAATTACAGCAGAGTGGATTAACTATAGTAGTTAATCTCAGGAAATGTTCTTGTCCCCTCTCTCCATTTTGGCTACAGCAGCCCTGATGAGTGACACTTGGCTTCCTCTTTCTTTTCTGTTTAAAAAGAATAGTCTCTCTACTCTCATCTTTCATCAACCCCTGCCCAATTCCCAATCCCCACCGAGGGAGGACAAGTCTGTTTAGTATACCTGCTGTAGTCATAGCGCCACGGTCCCTAAATCGTCAATTACATCAGAGTAGTAGGTGATAAAATGTGAATGACTACAAAACATTTGTAATACTGTTGAGTGGTCAGAAGGAATGGTATAGATCTGCAGATTATAATGTAAACAGAGGGGCACGTGGGCGGCTCAGTCAGTTGAGCAACCAACTTCGGCTCAGGTCATGATCTCACCGTGTGTGAGTTCGAGCCCCACATTGAATTGCACTTTCAGGACAGAGCCTGCTTGGAATCTCTCTCTCTCTCCTTCTCTCTCTCTGCCCCTCCCCTACTCATGCTCTCTCACTCTCAAAATAAATAAATAAACTTTAAAAAGTTAAAATAAATAAAGATCTAAATATTATGTTGAAAAAGGTGGAGCAATCATTTTGTGTAAATTATAAGCATTTAAATTATAAGTATTACAGGCATACATACGGGTAAATTAATTTACAGAAGATAGCTTAGAGGGATATACATTAAATGTGTCAGTGTGGGGGGTGCCTGGGTGGCTCATTTAGTTAAACGTTGGACTCTTGATTTCGGCTCAGGTCATGATTTCACGGTTTGTGGAGTGAAGCCTTGTGTTGGGCTCTGTGCTGCGTTAGCACGGAGCCTGCTTGGAATTCTCTCTCCCTTTCTCTCCACCCCTCCCCTACTCATGTGTATGCACGCTCTCTCTCTCAAAATAAATAAACTTAAAAAAAAGACGTGTCAGTGTGAATGCCTGTGAGGGAAGAGGAGTCATATTTGGGGTGGAGGATGAAGGGAAAATGAGGAAACAGGAACAGATGGCTGGGTACAGACCAATCATAATAAAGTGCCATAGCATAAGAAGTGAAAATCAAGCCACTTTGTTACACCTCCTGTCCAAACTGAACACACGAATAAATGAATGAATGAATAACATTAAAATCAATTAATGAATGTCTGAAATCTCATCCTATTTGTTTCACCCTATAATTTGACTAATCCCTGAATTTTATGAAGAGAAACCATTTTTGTTTGCTAAGTTTAAAATTGTTGCTAAAATTTATCCAGTATGATATCAAGGAGAATTCAGATAACACTTTGGATTTGGAATGCCTTTAGAACTGTTTTGAGAGATTCCTCCCTAACATATCCATGGGAGGACACTGAGGCTAGAAACTGGGATTTGCACAAGCTAAAGCCATTGGCACAGAAAGGGACTTCCAATGTGTTGTTCACACTGCTGGGTAAATAGCTGGTCATGGGATGCCTGGGTGGCTCAGTTGGTTAAGCATCTTACTCTTGATTTCAGTTCAGGTCATGATCTCAGGGTTTGCGAGTTTGAGCCCTGCCTTGGGCTCCATGCTCACAGCTCTGTCTCAAAAGTAAATAGATTAATTAAACAAAACAAAACAAAACAAACTAGTCATAGCATGCACAGTTGCTCACTTTCTGCCTTGCTGTTTGGCATAGAGAGAGAAACATAGTTCCAAGAAGTGAGAAAATATGGATCAGGCATCTGTGGAGTGAGACTTCTCAATATCTTAAACCACTGGCAAAAAATTGACAGTGTTTTATTAGCCTCTGTTAAGAACTAAAGACTACTTATCCATTTATTTATGTGGCAATGAAGGTGAAATTTTGGCAAGTTAATTGATGACCGTAAATAATGTAATTACAAGTGTAAAACTAAAGGGGAGAGAAGCAGTGGATCTGAGAGGTCCTGAGGAGCTGTTGAAAGCAGTTGAATTAGAAACTTGAGGGATTTGGTACTAGTCCCCACTCTCTATGATTGAGTCCCTTCCTCAGTAAGGTGGATGTGATAACATCTTCAGAAGAAGACCCTGAAGGACTGTAAGGTCCTAGTTGTTAGGATCAAGTTTCCACATGGACACCATGTTCTCTTAGTAGGAAATTGTTTGTGATCTTCGTTTACAGTAAGGGATAAAGGCATATCTCTGAGCACATGTGAAAAAACATGACTTGCAAATTAACATCTGTCAGGTGGGCAAACCTTTCATAAAACATAATTTCAGGGCTGCCGGGGTGGCTCAGTTGCTTAAGCAGTCGACTCTTGATTTAGGCTCAGGTCATGATCTCATGGTTGTGCAACAGAGCATGGTTGAGGCTCCCTACTGGGCAGGTAGCCTGCTTGGGATTCTCTCTCTCCCTCTGCCCTTCCCCCACTCGTGTGCACATGTGCACTCTCTCAAAAAAAAAAAATTAGAAACAAAAGTTTCATAAATTATAATGGCTATACTATTTAGATACTACGCTTGATCTTAGCCAAAAGGCCGAGAAGTGATTATACTATTTAGATAATTATGGCTTTAAAGATTCTTTAATGAAGCTGGAGAAAAAAACATTCATGGAAATATCAGATAGCTATTTTATTACTAGAGCCAGCAATAATGTTACTATTATAAATCTCCATTTAATTTATCTGATGTTTCTTTATGTCCCATTATTTTAACCTTACAAGAATTTTCTGAGGGAAAGAGGTTTGATATGATTCCATTTAGAATGGAAGAGACTGAGGTTCTGTGTGATTCCTTTTAACAGGCCATACCATTTGAAGTGTTTGAAGAACACTGAGAGGGATTTTTTTCTAGCTCTGGCATGGGTCTAAATTTCTTGCATTATAGAATAATAGGTAACAGCTCAGCTCCACCCTAGTATAAAACTCTGTCATATCCACTCTTGTTCTGAAATGTAAAAATATTGGGTCCTATGACACCTAGTACAAACCACAGATAGGGTGTGATTTAGGATACGGTGGTCAATATCTGATTTTGGCTGTGAGTACTAGAATAATAAGATTTTAAGTCTTTTCTCTTACAGTATCATACAAATGTGTACCTCCAGAGAATGGGCACTGAAGTATAAAATTGCAAGGACTGTTAATGCACATATACCAATGGAGATGACAATATCATATCATATAAAGCTGGAATGAGAATCTCTTGTTTAAATATGTAAACAAGTCAAGCCACTCACTGTGTATGATGTAGGCAATTTGCAAAATTATGCAAAGTGTTTAAGGTTACCAAGACATGTTAATACACTGAGGCACAATTTAATGCTTGGTGTGTTTTCCAAATGTGCATAATTTACTCCTTGGTACTGTTTTTTTATGATGTGTGACAAATATCCCCAATGCCAAGTGATTAATTTCCAAGTAACAGGGAGCTTTTTTTTCCCATCTTGCTTTGGTAAACTTCTGGACGAGCCCAGACTGACAGGCTTTTGCCATGGCTCTGAGCAGGCCAGACCTTGGTCTTGGCCTTGGCCATCTGGACAGAGGCGATGGTATCAGACATCCCTCAGCTACTATGTGCATCTGAACTTTGAGAGAATGTAGTACATTTGGCCGTTTTAATGTCCTGTATCGATATTATGCTCCACTGTCTGTTTGCATAGACTCAAGACTCAAGACTTTCTCTGTTCAAGAATGTCTGGGGCGCCTGGGTGGCTCAGTCAGTTGAGGGTCTGACTTCAACTAAGGTCACGATCTCATGGTTCATGGGTTTGAGCCCTGTGTCAAGCTCTGTGCTGACAGCTTGGAGCCTGGAACCTGCTTCCGATTCTGTGTCTTTCTCTCTGCCCCCTGCTCGCACTCTGTCTCTGTTTCTCTCAAAAATAAATACATATTAAAAAAAAAAAAAAAAAGAAGGGAATTTCTGGATGGCCTCTAGAACTTGACCAGGTCCTCTGTGAATATCCCTATCTTTGTCTCCATGGGAATTTTGATTACGGTTCTCAAATTTCAAAATAAAGCTAACTAATCATTTCTGTACATGACGATCAATTCACATTGTCTTTTAAAATTTCTTGGCCATCTTTAAAAGATGTACCTCTCAGAGGTGAAATGGAATAGCATATGTTGACAGAAACAGAAAAAGGAAGAAAATAAATGGCGTAAGCAAAATATACTGCAGCACAGAGATAAGAAGAGATGTATACAAAACAGTCTGTCATTCATTAAAAAAAAAAATCCCATAGCCTTTAGGCTGAGATCTACAGGGAAAAAAATAGCAGCAGAAAAAAGGAGCCTACCTGCCAAATATATGGTACAGTGTTCATTACTAAATTGAAAGCCCTTGTAAGGTTATGATACAAATGTTACTGTGTCAGTTGAGTCAAAGTTCTGTTGAGTGTGTACTGTTGAGAGCCTGCAACCTCACCACTGTATCCACTGCAAGGTCCCCCCTACATTCTGACCCTGGGGGAGGCTCCAGACCATGTAGCAAACTCCATGTGCTACGCCAGACCTAGAACTTGTCTTAATTACTACAGTATCAACTTGGGAGTGGAGCAGAATTGCTGGAGTGCTGTTCGAAGACAACAAAATAAGTGGGCAGTAATAGTGGCAGATCAGAAGAATTGGTTCAGACCAAGTATTTGAGGCTCACCTTCAACAGCGAAGGTAAAAGAAACTTGGCGGTAAGTTTTCTGTTTGCCAGCCCTGTGACAGGATTGTGATGTGCCTAGTTCTGATGAGCAAACAGTGACCTTTTAGAGTTGGGGAGAGTTGGCACATACGAGATATGATTACATCCTTATCACTAAGTGAATATATACCTGACAAAGGGGAACATACTCTCCTGTCATGCACAAAATAACAATGATAATAACTAAAACTTATTGAGTGTTTTACTATGTGGCAGGCATTATTCTGAGACTCCTTTCTATGCTACTTAATTTTGACACAAACCTAACATGCCAGATGCAAATTCTCAACCCTTAATCATTCATGCTACTGATCACTGTAAACTTACTTAAGTATTTAAATACTCTGATCCGTGAGATAAAAAGCAATGAACTAATTAAAAATGAAAGTAGGAAACAAGCATTTGGATTAGGCTTTCTAGGAGCATTCCAGAGTTTTGAGAATAGTTAGACATGCATTTGGACATAAATTTTCAAGAAAAATATTTTTTCATTTATGAAAATAGGAGGCCACGTGATTCTCTGTGGAAATTTTAGGTAAAGAAAAAATTCAAAGCTATGAAATTTTAAATGGAATAGAGGAGTGTTCTCAACCTTAGCCACACATTGGACTCACTTGGGGAACTTTAAAAACTTACAAATGTCTGAGTTCCACTCCAGATATTCTTACTGAATTGGTGCCATATGTGGGTTTCTGGAAGCTGGCCAGGTGGCATCCACTGCAAAATCTCAAGACTTGACTTGAGGGTAGCTTCTGGTAAAGCCTAAGCACTCAGGAGGGAATCAGGGTGACCTGGGTTGGAAATCACAAATCCGCATGTATGAATTGTTTGATTTTGGAAGATGAACTTTTACCTTCTGAGATTCAGTCTTCCCATGTATACTATGGGGATAATAATAGCACTTTGAATTTGCAGAATGCGCACGAATCTCTTGGCAATGCATACATGTCTTTTAGCGTAGTGCTTGGCATTTCATGATCACTCAAAAACACTGCAGGCAGATAATAGGTGAGAGTTTTCCCCCAAATTATGAGACAGTGACATGGAAAATCAGTAAGGCAGAGCTATTACTGAGTTTAATGCTTGAATTGATGATCTCTATGCATGTTAAATGACATATATTTACCTATTTATCTATAAGCTATCTTTCCATTCGTCTATCAATTATTAGCTAACTAGCAAACTAATAGCTTTTGTAGAGCAGGGATTCCTCCTCATTTGCTTGGTACTAACTTAGATTCCAAGGCACATTAGAGAGTCAGATGACATGAGAATGTAAATAAGGCAGCTTTACAGAATTATTTTCCTATCTTCCCTCCCACCCCAAGAATCTTCACAATCCCCAGTGTCTCAGTCTTCTGGGATCTCTCTCTGCCTTACCTCAGTCTTGCTTACTGAAATGTCCATTAGGAAATCCAAGACCTCTTTTTGACTACCCTGGAGAAGGCATTTAATTTGTTAACATGTTAGTCACATTGGCCATTGTTCTAAGAGGCCCAGAGCCATGAGTCATTCTATCTTTCTGTGAGGTCTTGTACTGACTCCTGACTAAGAGTCAACATCTGCTTTTCTGATTCTGCTTAATTCCCTATCTCCTGGTTCATAACCATGACCATGTGGAAGTTTCAGGTTTTTGACTGCCGTAAGCTACTGTTCCCAAGTAATGGCAGATGAGCAAGTGCTTTAGGACGTGACATCACTCAAGTAACACATGCTTATGAGTTACTGCAAATGTCTTGGCTATTAACCTTCTTCATTGGGCCAGATATATTTTAAAATGTCTCACTTTTCCATTGTATCAGAGTTAAGGGAGTCTGATTAAAGTGGGCATATGTCCTTTTTTAATTAATTAATATGAAAACACAGCAGTAAAGATGCTTGCTGATAATAAAGGAACCATTTTTTAAAAGTCTAACATTTACTTACTTAAGCAATTCATAATTGTTCTTTAAAGAAATAATTTTTTAATGTTGTTTTATCTGGCCACATTCCATTCATTCTATGTGTGTTAGTTTAAGCATCATAACAAACTTGTGAAATTCATGCTATTACTATGTCTAGTTTACAGCTAAAAAACCAAGGACATCCAATTAGAAACTGATGGAGAAAAAAATTAAATATAGGTAATCTGGTTCCCAAAAATGGATTCTTTAACATTATACCCTCTTATCAACAGCAAAGGTTTACCAACACAGTAATGCCCTAACAGCATGCAAAAAATTCCTTTTTATTTTTTCTGGCATTTAATCACGGTCAAGTGGCAATACTGGGTTCATTGTTCCTTTCTTTATTTAACTCTGTTAAGCGATGCCTTGTAGGGAGGTCCCTGATCATGAAGTTATCAATAATGAAAGTTTTCTTTCTAGTGTTCAAAATACGCAACCTGAAGCAATGGTCCTCTGATACAACATTTTTCTTTTGGAGCTCCATTTTCCTTCTGAAAGTCATTTCCCTTGGGCAGATTTTTCCAATTAGATAATTGTCTCTCAGGTAAAACTCGGCTTCCAGCTTTTTCAGCGGTTACTCAAAATCTGACATTTTTTTTTTGTCTGATGGCCTTTTAAAAGCTAAAATCCTGAGTTTTTATAAATTTTTCTTGCATAAACTGTTTAAATTGGACCTAGTGATAACTTCATTTATGAGAAGTTTTTAAAGGCTCCAACTAATTTTCATACAGAAATATCCTAGATAGAGTAACTCCTCCTCAACTTGGAACCCTCTTTGTTGGTAGGTAATTATTACCTAAATATCACCAGTCCTAAACTATATGGACACAAAGGAAATCACATTAATCTTCATAGCTCAAATGTCTAGTCTTACCAACTGCATATGCAGAAATTCCACACAGTTCCCTC